AAATTATAGGGCCGTATGTCTCAGAGTATTCAGTGCAATTTGGGAAATAAATCAATTAAATCTGTATGTGGATGTGTGTAAATATTCAAATGTAATCCCCTTTGTAATCGTTAACATTTTCATAAGTAACTGTAATTTAATTACACATTTCTTTCTTAGTAACTGTAACTGATTACAGTTAAATTTATTTTGTAATTAAATTGCGTAACGCCGTTACATGTAACTAGTTACTCCCCAACACTGGTAGTTTCATACTACTAGTATGGTCCTTGAGTGCACATGGAAAGTATCCCTGTGCTAGGACTTCTATTTCACCACCTGATTTGAACTCTTTTGGGATATTCACTCCATGTCTGAAGCGTTTTGGGAGCACATGGGACCTGGTGAATGTTTGGACAAACAGTGGACACTCCTTGAACTTTCTATCATTCTCAAGCATCATAATCAACGATAAGTACAAGAGACATTCACAGAGAGAAAACAAACAAAAAACATTTATGATTCTTATTGGACGATGTGCAAAATGTATCTTCCATCCATGAGAGATAATCACTGCTATGTTGTGTTATGACAAAAGCTTACACGTCGTTGAGCCTTTTCATATCATACTCATCTGCTGTAATAGTCCATGCTGATCTTTCTATTACTAATGATTGAGTAGCTTGCATTTGTGGGTCTCTCCCCCTTTTTTTTTTTTTTTCCTTTGGTTTGCACCTATGCTATACTTTTTTATTTTTTCTCTATGCTATAGTTTTTTTTTTAATGTTTTTTTTTTATTTAAGATGCATATATTAAGAATGGTTGGTGGGCCTCAATAGATTTTGTAGCAGGCATCTTTTTTAAAGAAAGGAGAGCGGTTACATGGTAGTTAATGAAAGACCTAAATTATTTGCAATTTTGTATTGAGAAATGTGATTTTTGATTTGCTTGACACTTCTCTCATGAAATTTGATACAAAGTTATGAGCCATGATCCAGCATTGCTTGCAGACTGAGATGCTCCTTTTATACCCAAACATTACACCCTCACATATTACCAATTCACCTGCTTACTGTGAACTGTTTCAAAACAGTTTAACTTGGATATTCTATAACCTTTTTCACTTTTATTTTGCCTCTGTCCCAACTTTTTTAGAGTGTGCTGCAGCCATAAAAATCCAAATTTGTTTATATTTACAAAATACATTTACGTTGGTCAGTGAAAACTTTGGAAATCTTTTCTTTTTCATTACATTTGTCAGTTAAATAAAAGTTAAAGAGCATTAACAAATCACAAGTGATTTGATTTTTCATCTGTAAGATGATGTAGGCAAAAAGTATTTTAGATTTCCATTAAAGGAGGTACTTGAGCAAAATCTAGGGATGTCAGAGACTTAAGGGTGGATGCTTTGGGATTCATTTATGCTATAGCATCACCATTACAAGTATACCACATGTTTTGTGATTGCAACTGTGGCCATTATGTAGTTTTAGTTTAATTAAATCTGACTCAATTTAATCATTCATTGACATGAGTAACATCAATAAATAATACATTTCAAAACTTCATGCAGATTTTTTTTATGGATGTGGAAAAAGTGTTACAATAATCCTTGTTCTCTTCTACAAAGTTCAACATTACCATTCACATCTGGATAATATAGCATGGAATTCCTGTTTATACAACGTGTCAATAGGATACTGCTGCTGTTTATGGTAAGAATAAACATCCTGATATTACTTTTCTGATGCAGTGTAAATAGCTTCTGCTGTTATTTCATCACCAGTCCAGTGAAGTAATGTTATTGCTCTCTTACAGCAAGTTTGTGTATTTTCGAGCCTGTGTTTTGGTGAAGCGAATAATGAAGCAAATTATTTGCGAGGTTGCCTGTGTGACCACACATCCTCGATGCTCCACACGTCAAGAGCGAGGACATATTTATTCACAGAGCTTGAAGTTAATAGAGTTCAGGCAGAGCCTTCTTTACCATCTCTCACTAGGCTAGGACTTACAATTTGGTCACAATTGCAAACCTTTGAAAACACAGCGAAGAAGTATCAGATGAAAGGAGGCACACAGACACAGGTGAGGAGAGAGAACAAGAGAAATGTATTAAACCACCGAGTGGTGATCATCAAGTTGACAGCTGCGGGGACACATTCAAACAGTCACAGAGCAAGTGATATGTTCCCAGAATAATCAGTGAGATCAATGGTAACTCATTTCCATCTGAGGGTATTTTGGATCAATACCTGAAAGACAGACAAAGCCCTGTTTGGATGAGACTAGTTTACCATATGTAAGTTTAGGTAAATTCGTATTTCATTGACGTAATTTGTGATATTCAGTGAATGCCTCACCCTAAATGAAAAGATAAAACCACTATAAAAGAAGCCCATAAGACTGCATTGTGCTACATTCCAAGTCTTCTGCAGTTATATGATAGTTCTGAGTAAAGAACCAATGGAAATCTGAAAGGTTTTCAGTCAATAATGACCTAAATTGCAGTTCCTCACACAGAGCTACCATATGACTTCTCTAGACATGAAATATAGTGCGTGTGTCATGTAGACTGGTTTTATGGTGTTTTGTGTCATGAAGCTTGTCAGTCCCTGGACAGTATGAACTGTCTGTGAGGGAAAAAAATGCATAAAGTTTCTTAATGTTTTTATTTGTTTTGAAAAACAGTTATTGGGTTTGATATGACGGTGAGTAAATAAAGAGTTTTCATTTATGTGTGAATTATTCTTCTATTCCCCTCCAAATCAGACATGTCTGTTTTTTGTTTTTTTCTTTCAGTCTCTGTAAAAATTAAAGAACATACAAAGTCCTGTTTTTCAGTTAGCTTGTCTTCTGAGAAATCATATCCTATCCAGAACGGAATGTCTCTGATTGGGTATTATTTTTATTTTCCTCAATTATTTTAACATTTATTAAATAAACGAACTTCCTGTGTAAAGTAGCAATATGGCTAAGTAAAAGGAACATTAAATCAGTAAGGGAGAGTTCGATCCCAGAAACTACTCAGAATTATCTTTATAGTAACATCAGGAATGATTCTCAGCATAAGGCCTACAGCTGGGTCCACAAATCTATTTGGGAAAATCATGTTTTGCATTTTTTTAATGCAATACCACACAACTTATTTTATTTACTATCGAATGTACTATTTGTCTATATCAATATATTACTATGAATATACAGATAGCCTGAGTGAAACATAGTTCCAAATGTTTTAAAGAGCATCTTGTGCTTCAAATGAAGCAAATCCACATGCTCAATGCTGCAAATTTGATTTGTGACCTAGAAATAGTGTTAAAAAGGAGTGTTAAAAATATTTTGATTCATTATATGCCACAACATTTATTTATTTATTTATTGTTATTTCTTTTTTCTTTTGTTTCTTTTTTCTTTTTGTATTTTTTTTTGTATTTTTTTATTTAGTTGTTGTTGTTGAAAATGCGAAAAAAAAATAACTGTCTGTGATGCTCGCACACAGAGCACATGCTTTTCTGTAACCGCACATCCATGCAATGAACAATCACACCCTTGTAATAACTACATAGATCCCAATCCTGTCTGAATCAGTATTTGTATTAAGTCACAAGATGTCCTCTGTTAGCAACCGCTGCTCAAAAGTTATTTACAAAGTAAATCCTGTCTGAATAGAGATACAAAAAGAGTCATTCCGCTCTACTTCCATGAAAGGGATCCTATGATACCGTTACTCAACACAGGTCTGAGATGAGAACAGATTGCAACGTAAAATCAGTAGCGGAGGCCAGTTTACTCACCATATTGACGGTGCTTCTGTGCCGCTGATCTCTAGAAAGTCATATCTATCTTCTAGTTGGAAGTCTGTGAAGACCAGGGCAATGGTGTCTCCCGGCTCGGCCAGAATACCCCACGTGCAGTCAGCATTGTTCTCATACTCTGAAGGAAAATGGGGACTTGATATTGTCCCTGTTGTTCCTCTTAACGTCCCACCACATGATCCTTCAGCTGGACAAAATACCACAAAAGTTACAAATTAGTAATTAGGCAAAGGTAAAATTACACCCTATATAAATCAACATTAATTTTCAGAGCTCGTATCCCATGACTTTTTGTAGTCATTCATGAATAATGTATTAAAAATCCAGAGTTTGAATATAAGGAGTGCCCCCCGATGCAGCGTCTAAGACAGGATCAGTACTGCTGCTCTCTAAACGCAGAGTATACTGGTTTACATTCATGTGCAAGAAGACGCAAAAGAGAACTGTTTATTTAATTTATATCTACTATTGTATATATATATATATTGCTTGAAATTTGTTTAAAGTCTACTCGTCTTTAATAATGTTTTAAATTTATGGCTGGACGTTTTAGGCTGTGGATTTAAAACTGGAATCAAGAATTGTGAAATCGCACCAGTATCTAAAATTTTGCTATTGTAATTCTGCGGTTGTGAATCGCTGTGGGCATGAAGCCTCAGGTATTCACAACCATAATGATTTATGGCCATAATGCAGTCTTGCTTTTATACGTAAATAAGTAAGGAGAAGCCAAGGAGTCTCACAAAGACCCTCTTATGTGTGTAACTACTTTCCTATGCCAAGTATCCAGAATCTGATGTTGCTAATTCAAAAAGACGTTACAAATCTGTAGTTCCACATAGTAATGATGTGTTTTTGAAAAAATCTATTGAGTGAATGATTCAATGACTTGTTTCTTGTTTCTTGTTTCTCCACTGAAAAGCTGTGGACTGACTTGAAGACTGCAGTCCACAAATGGTCACCATCAAATTAAACTGAACTTGAGCAGTTCTGCAAAGAAGAGTGGGCAAATTCTAGATGTGCAAAGTTAGTAGAGACAGATTACATTACATGAGAAATGCTAAGCAAGTGTAGCAATTAGCTTGATATAAAAGGCTACAAGTAACATATTTATGCAACATTAAATGGCCAAGACACACATTAGGTCACAATATGAAATTATTACAAACACTCGATGGTGGTTTAAAGTGAGTTTTGAGTAAAAGCACTACAGTACTACAGCACTAAGGTACTACAGTATGCATGAATGGTCACGTAGCATGCGTTTTCCTTGATGCCTCGCCAGAGCCAATCACTAATTTAGGCACATAAAGCATGCTGCATGCTTATTGGCTCACTGTCTTTGATGATATTAACCCCTTAGGGATTGAAATGTGGTACCAAGCGACAAGACATTTTTCGATACTTGATGGTATCGAGGCAATTCGGTCGGTGCCTAAAAAGTATTAAACTCGATACCCAGCCCTAGTGCTAAGCGGGTACTATTGCAAACATACAGTAGCCACAGTATTTCATGACTGTGGAAACCATGCTTTTTAACCCATCCAAGCATAGAGCATCTTACCTCTACAAAATGGTGCAGGGAAATCCCATGATGCACCACTTCCTGGGCTTACTATGCACGTGAGCACTGCATGCCCCTCCAAAACATATCCCATCACACAACTGTAGCGGATCTTGTCACCGACATTGTACCTGGTCCCATGGATAATCCCTCTCGGTATCAACCCTGGATTTCCACAGGTGTGACTTGGTAGAACTGGAACAGAAGACAGGAAAACAGATCAGAAGTAAGTTTCTGTGTCACGCTGTGCCTTTCACTCTTCTCTGTATGTTCTTTTTCATCATCATACACAGACTGAGCCAAGCTCTTGAGATGTCTGTCTCAGTGCGAGTCTTCACTATGAAGCGTGCACATCTGAAGCTGGCCCAGCACTCATGCATGGGACTGCAGTGAAACCCTCACAAGTTAGTTGTGCGTTTCTGTGATCACGATGCTGTTTGAAGGTAAGTATTTCATGTTGGCAATACAATCACAACATTAATGTGCTCTGTTCATCCCTGTCAGCTGTTCAAACAGAATCTATGCAAACCATTTTAAGAGTGAAATGTAGTGCTATGACTCTTATAAACAAAAAGCCCATTTCAACTTTGTTTTCAGAAACATCCAATTTTATAGTAAAATAAAAGCTGAAAAGAAGACAATTTAAAATCAATTTGAAATCAAATTGAGCCCATCTCCTTTCTTTACTTTCTTTCTTGAAATAAAATAAAAACAATCTTACATCTTCCAAAACATTTCTTTATTTTGGCCAAATACATGTTGATGAAGCTATAAAAATTATTCATATTTAAGAACTGCTGGGATGGATTTTGTGGGAAATTGCATACATAATTTGCCCGTGCATGTGTCACATCATAGACATACACAGTCGTACATAGACGTACATCTCTCTAAATTTGTATACACTAATAATTATACGTTTGCTTCAGAAGTAAATACTGTCATGTTTTAGTCCAAAGAAGATAAAGTCCAAAGAGGGTTAAAGCAACAAAGAGGTATTTAATAAAACAGAACCAGGTAATCTGTTGATGAGAAGCCAAATTAAACAGCACATACATCACAACAACACTCGACAAGGGAACACAACAAACTGAGGGACTTAAATTCACAAGATGATGAACAAAATACAAACAGGTGAGGAAAAAAGGACAAAGGAAACAGGAACTGAAGTGAAACAAACTAAGAGTCCATGAAAATGAAACTAAAGCAGAGGAAAAATATGAAATATCTTCATATCTTAATTTTTATATAATCAAAGGGAAATAAGAAAATTCTGTAACACTTTACAGAAAAGCGTAGAACGTGTACAATGGGGGATGGTGGGTTAGAGGTCCCCATTTTGAAAATCTGCTTATGGCCCCCAAATGCAAGGCCTGGCCCTGCTATATCCCATCAGAGTTGGATAAACTATGTTAAAGAGAAAATTATCCTGAAGGAAATTCAGCCTTGTGAACCTTTCTGCCTTTAGAATGCTGGAAGGCAAGGATGTCCCCACCAGCATTCATCTTTACAGACACCAAACCAGTGCTTTTTGATTGATTGTTCAACAGTCCAGCACAAAATAAAATGTCAGAAGATATTATGAATTTTAAATTATTACATCATGGTATGGTGACGTTTTATACGTATATTTTATTGTGGTAACTTTTACACAGACAAGAACTAAAATATATATATATATATATATATATTTCAATCATGACAACTCTCTGAAGATTTTAGAATGGTGATGGATATGACAATGTTAATGTATTTGGTCTTGGCAGAATAGATCTGCTACGCTGCTGCTGCTGAATTG